AAGTATCTTGCCCACACACTCTCATGGGCTGTAGCTTATCCTCTCAGTGGCTCTCCTGTCATACTCAGGGCGCATCAGAGGCACACAAAAGTCAGTCAGAGGCTGACTAGCCAAATGAGCCCAGCATCAAAACCTCATCAGAGAAACAAGTGACTCTTCACCTGTACCCAACACTCACTGTGAAACCCAAAGGCAGACCTTAGTCTGGCCCATGCTTCTGCAGGAATTGAAGCCCATCTGATTTCCTTACCCTCACTGCCACCACCTTGCTTCACACATTCATCTTCTCCATCCTTGGTCCTCTCTCTGTCTCTAGAAACCACCCCAGATTGGGTCTGCTGAAGCCCCCCTAACAAAATGCTCTGGACCTCATGAGCCAGCTGGAGTGACCTCTTCTGTGAGGCCTTGGGAGCTCTCTGTGCATAGCTCAAGTCCTTCTTCACTTTCCTAACTCCTGCTCCCTCTGCTGAAGTCAGATTTCTGAAAGATCAAGAAGACAACCCACCCAGCACCCCTGTGAGCAGTGTAGGGCTGAGTGTGCACCTGCAGGGAGTGTCAGACAGGGCAGTGCCTGCTGACCTCACTCTGTGGTGTGTCATGATGCTGGACGACATGCTGTCTTCCCGCAGGCTGTGCACACCCCCATGCTAGCAGATCTCCAGATTCCCTGTAAGTATCTGTCATGGAAGTACTTACCATCCAGACAGTGGACTAACACACAAGCGGCAGGGGCAAGCATCTCCTAGCAAGTGCAATCTGGGGCAAAGGGCAGCTTGGGGTAAAATGAACCTGCTGCTTGAAGAGTGCTGCTGCATCCTTGTGCTTCTCAGCTGACACTCTCCACTTTCCAAAGCACCCATCAGTCATTCAGTCCTTCCTTCCTTCATTCATTCATTCAGTCTGTGTGTCTGTCAGTCAGTCATTATGGCCCCCAGGGTCTGTTGTGTTTCAGGTGCTGCAAGGATATGACACCAACAACCGGGCTCAACACAGTGTGAGTGTGAGAGCAAGTTTTGTTCTGCACCTGCCTGCCTGAGTGGTCAAGGCCGACATGTTGGGCCCCATCCTTCTCAATTCTGCTCCTTCCTGATACATCTATGGGAGATGGATCAAATAAAAGCATAGCTCTACTAGCTCCCTAGTCCTGGGCTTACTGGTTGACCCGACGTGACACACCTGCTTCCAGAGCTCCAGGCAAGCAAAGGGTCAATTAGCTCCCTGAATCTACCCAGGAAGCGATTAGCATTAAGTGCCACGCTGTCAGCCATAGGCATAACATGCATGCCAGATTCACATTACAGATTTGCTGCAAGGGCTGTACTATGGAGAGGCAGAACAGTTGTGGCTGACAAGAGCTTCCAGATACCTGAGACACTTAGGGATACCATCTCCAGTGACACTGGAGAAGGGTGCTGGTGTCTATGCTACTGTGGTGACTCACAGGGGTTGACTCAGAGGCTTTTGATGAGGAATCATCTCTTCTAGCCTACATCTTAGGGATAGGCCTGAAGCAAAACAAAAGGTCAGATGCAAAAATGAACACTGAGCAGCCAGAAGAGCTCAAGATACAGGTGACACATGAAATGTCAATGTGGCCTCCTTATGGGTACACAGAACACAAGACCAACACTCATCTCCAGAATGGTGAGAGAGAGGGAGGGAAGATGCATGAGGTCTGCTACTCCAACAAAGCAGCCAACACTCTGCTTTGTTTCAGCCCCTAGTCCAGTTTCTAGACCTATGTCTGATGGCTAGAAAGGTATTCAGGTCCCCAAGACTGGTACTACTGCAGCATCACAACGTGCAGATGCTTGAATGCACCCAAAGCACATCTTCCAAGTGACCTACAGCTGTGTGCTGCATCCAGAAAATGGGAATAATTCAACAGAAGTAGTGTATACCTTGTCCTGTGTGAGGTTTATACCTGGTAGTTCAAGGAAGTTCATCTGAAATATGGCCTCAGTAGGTCCTCTGTACTTATAGTTCTGAACAAATGATGTCATTAAATTCAAAGTGAGATGGTCCATTTCCTGTGAATTTGTTTGTTGGCCTTTAGTGAGGAAAGACTTCTAATCAAAATACTCCATATCAGGCTTCAGACCTAGTGAGAATATCAACTTAGTTCTGTTAAGATCCTTTTAAAACAGAAGTTATTAATACAACAGAAAATACTAGATAAAATAATCAGACAGCATTAACTCAATGGAATGAAGAAAATACAAAGACAAAGGAGCAGAGGTATTATGAAGAAACTCAAACCCCTGTTGTTTCTTTGAAATGGCCTTATTCAAGTCCCTTGTCTGTATTCTACCTTTCCATGTTTTCAGAGTTCCCAGAGCAAGCTTGTAAGTATACATGTGGAAGAACGAGACTTCTAAAGAAAGCACACTAGGACAATTCTTATCTAGTACCTTGTCCTCCAGAGCTTGCCCACAAACCCCTGATTCATAGAACCAAATGAGCAGGACCACATAGTCACAAGCCATTTGAAGCCCTCTGTCCAGCAGGACACATGGGTCACATGTTATTTTTGTGACTGAAATATCAGAAGAAAGAAAGAAGGAAATGAAAGGTAGCTGAAGAGATTGGAAGGAAGAGATTGGAAACCCTCAAACTTAAAGCTGATGAAATACTTTAGAGCCATGTATTAGTTACTTTTGTGTTGTTACAAAGCCTGCCACATTTTGCAGGTTCACCAAAGTGCCACTCCTTCCCATCCACATATACTTTGTGACAAAACAAAATCAACCCAATAGAGTGTAAGTAGCCCATCCATGTCTAGGGTTCCTGGGACATGGCTTTTTCTTGTCCATATGAAATGTCAAAATCAGTAATAAATGTATCACTATGAAATGTCAAAATCAGTAATAAATGTATGACTCAGGGTGGTACCATATGATCCCATTTGCCTGGATGAGGAAGAAAAAAGGTCGTGGAAGGGAATCTGGGAAACAAGCAAGCACAGGATCAGAAGGAGTGGGGACACAACAGGAATGGCAAGACAGACAAAAAACAAGCTCACCATCACCACATAGATCCCCAGAGCTTCTCCAGCATGTGTAGTCTGTAAGGTCATGTAGCCATGGATAAGTATGGGTACACAACAAATGTAAGAGAAGAAAGACAAGTCCTTCCATAGGAGTCACAGTACCTGAGCACCTACTTCTGCGGAAACACTCACCAGAATTGGAAGGCTATGGGCTCCAGGGATGGGCAATGGGATATTCTTTGTCATGTAGATATATGTACAAGCACTTGGCTAATACTCAGCCAATTGTAGCCCTAAACAAAAGCAAAGTATCCCTGGTGCAGAAGAGTCAAGGTAACTGAAACAGATACTCATCACAGGAATAGTACACAGACTTCAAAAGTGGTCCCTATCATTCCAACCAAACAAGAAAAGTAACTGAGGGGGGAAATGTGACAAAGGTGTTTCCCAGAGAAAGAAGCTAGACTGACTAAGGAATATCTGAAGGGATGATACAAATCTGGGTCAAGGAAATGACATATTCATGGAACCTAGCACTTAGGACATAAACAAAAATGAACCCTCTCTTGTGGAGGGCACCTTCATCCTGATTTCCGAGTCAAATAAGCAAGGGAAGGGAAACCTTTCTTTGGTGCAAAAGGAGTTGAGACAAAGGAATTATGGTCTAGGACAGTGGTTCTCAACCCGTGGGTTACATAACGATTCATAACAGTTGCAAAATTGTAGTTATGAAGTAGCAATGAAAACAGTTTTATGATTGGGGACACCACAACATGAGGAATTGTATTAAAGGGTCACAGTGTTAGGAAGATTGAGAGCCACTGAGCTCGAAGCACAGAAGATATTATGGAAATGACATAGCTTACTGGGCATTATCTCTATAGCAATCATGCAAGAGCCATACAATGTTAGGTGGGGAAAGATATCAAGGCTTGATGTTCCATGGGATGATTAAGAGTGCTGGGTGAGTGCCCACTGGGGCACTATGAGAGCAGTCGTCAAGAAGGCAGTCCTTAAAGAGAATGTGATCTGACAGGAGTGGTTAGAAAGCAGATCATTCCAGGATTGCTGGTTGTCTTAGGGTTTCTATTGCTGTGAAGAGACACTATGACCATGGCAACTCTTATAAAGAAAACATTTAAGCGGAAGAAGAGGAGAGAGAGGGAACTAGGATTGGAATGTAAAAATGAATTAATTTTAAAAAAGAAAAAAAACACTGAATTGTAGTGGCTTACATTTTCAGAGGGTCAGTCCATTATCATCATGATGAAATATGACAGCACACAGGCAGACATGGTGCTGGAGCTGAGAGTCCTTATATCTTGACTCAGAGGCAACAGGAAGTGATCTGAAGCACTGGCCGTGGCTTTGAGGCATATATGAGAGCTCAAAACCCACCCCACAGTGACACACGTCTTCCAAGAAGACCATACCTACTCCAACAAAGCGACACTCCTGATAGTGCTACTCCCTACGAGTTTATGGGGACCAATTACATTCAAACCACCATAGTAGTAAATTTATATTTCAAATGAAAGTCAAGAGAGACGGAGACTCTAGTATCCAGGGGAATTGCTATTGGACACAACCTATAACCCAGGGAGGTGATTCTTCCAAGGCCCAGAGAGTACTGCAGCAGAAAACTGACCTTGTACTTTCATGTCAGAGAATAGATCAGGCTTCTGCTCTTCAATCTGGCACCAGAGGAAGCTGTGTGGTGGTGTGTGTCCCACTCAACATACTCACTACAACATACTTATTATTTATGACTTATTAAATTTTGCCTGAGGGTGCAGAAAGCAAAGGTAGCCACAGTCATAGAGGTCAGACAGCGGTACCATACACCTTTAACCCCAGCAGCCATAGTACTAGCTAACCATAGAGTTAGTGGTGGTAGCACACACCCTTAATCCCAAGACTCAAAAGAATCAGAGGGATCTCTGTTCATTCACGGCCACACTGAGCTACATGAAATAGATCCAGTCCTAAAGAGAAACAGCTCACACAAAGGTGATCACAGCACTTAAGATCACATGCCTTTAATCTCAGGATTTGAAATGTATAAAAGGGAGAGGCTACAGTAGAGGATTGCAGTTTGAGGCTTGGTGGAGACAGGATTGCAGTCTGAGGTTGTGTGGAGAGTTCAGTCATGCTGAGGACAAGACGGCCCTTTCAGACTGAGGTAGAGGTAAGAGCTAGTGGCTGCTGTTTTGCTTCTCTGATCTTCAGCTTGAAGCTTCAACCCCAATATCTGTCTCTGGGTCTTTTTCGTGTTACACATACTCTCAGGAAATTGTGTGAGTCAGGATAGGGAGCCCTTCTATAGCTCCCCAGTACAAGACAGCTACTTCAAGGATGTGGTTCCTTGGGCAAGTTCCAGTTCTTTGGTACAGCAGGGTACAGGGGGAGGAGCAGTTTACATTCAGGGTGCCCTGGCTCATGATTTGAAATGGCTCCAAGTTTGTGGTCAGCTGTCAGGTAGGAAGCTGGCAGTCATCCAAGGAGGAAGAAGCCTGGTGGGAGAAGCCAACACAGAAGGGAAACTGGGCAAGTGGTATTTAAGTTCTAACATGCTACATAGATTCTCTCCCCTTTGCTTTGGAGAACTCAGAAACCCTTTCTTTCTCTGAGATAACAGGTACAGTCTTAGGTGGGTTCCATGAGCCTAATGAAAGAGACATGGGGATCCTTGCAAAATGCTTTCAGAGCTAGGAGACTGAAAGTATCTAAATTCTAGGCATTAGATGGTGAAGCTGTGTCTCGAAGGAATGGGACAACTAAGACAGAAGTGAGATAAACATTGCAGAGTATGGACACTGAGTAGTCAAAAGAAGTTGACCTAGTGAAGTCTCTTGGGTCAGAGACAAGGAAGTGCACAGCATAGCCCTTATGTACACTACAGAATATAGATGAAGAGAGCTGAGATTTACATCTTATATTGAGACTCTCAAACAAGAACACCTAAAAGACTGGTGGGGTTAGAGAGAAGTTGAAGCTGGAGAGGATATATCCAGGACAGTGTCATTCAGACTCTCAGGAAAGAGCCAGGCAACAGACGAAGACTGTCCTCAGGAAGTAGCCCTAGCAACCTGGAAGAGGACCATATTTTCTTACAGGTATAGCAGAAGTAGGGACCCAGAGCTTGTCTGCCAAGCTCACATTTGAAATAAGCCTTAATAAGATCAGGGCCATTGGCAATTTTGGACAGTGGTTCCTGGAGTAAAAACAGCTTGACTTCAGGAATTCAGCCTTACCTAGTAAGACCCAGCCTAAGGCCACATAGGTCCCAGACAAAAGTTCCTGGCCTTTTTGCAGCATTCACACCCCCTATAGTGCCCCCCACCTAGAGTCCCCTCAGAATATGGGTAGGTCCCTAAGTCACCCTTTCCTTGCCATTTTGCCTTACTTAAGAAGGCCTCATAATCTCTGAATGACTGCTTCCAATTACACCTAGCCACTCCAAGCCTCTTAGACTGTACCTAAAAGGTCCTTGCCCTACCACACTCCTCCCAAAGCCTCACACATCTATCCAGCCACACACGTCACTGCCCCCATTTCTACGTCAGCTCTCCCCGTCTTGCTCTGCTCCTTTTCCTGCAGCCCCACTTCAAATGCCTTACCTCGTAACCCACAGCTCTGCCCTGAGCTTCTTCCTACCCCCCCCAGCTCTGCCACTACAGCCTTACCTGGGTCTCACAGAAGCTCCTCCAGCTCTACCACAGCACTCGCAGCCCCCTGCTTGTCCTTCATCTCTGCCCCTAGTTATCGTCAACTCCATCAGCGCTGCTTCTCCCTTAGCATCTCCTCTATGAGGTTAGAACTCAATGCTCACTTCCCACTTTCTATACCACTGCTCCCAAGGACCCAGCCACAGAGGTCAGCACTCACAGCCCAGCCCTTCATCAGCAGTGCAAACTGTAGTGTGACAGGATCCACAGCTCACAACACTGCCCTGCTTCTCCCAAGGCCTCACCCAACTGGGTCAGCGCTCACAACCTTTACTAGTTACCCTCACTTTAACCTGCACGGCTCCGCCCCCCACGTCCAATGGCCCTGAATCGCATTGTATCTAATGTCCGTCCAACGCCTCAGGCCGACTTCATATCTTACCATTGACAACCATCCCTGTTACTGTTGAGACACACCCTAGGTCACCACTCCTACTTCAGCATACAGTCTTGCTCTTCTCCTTCCAGTGGCCATAGTATGTCACTATCCAAAGGTCGCCCTCTCTCTCCATAAGTCAATACCTACAGCCTCTTCCTTGTACTCTGGAGACCCTAAATGCCTAGGGCAAGACTTGCACCACCACCCACCACTCCAACCTCAGCATGCAGAGCCATGCCCACCCCTGGACATCAACACACACAATACCACCCACCACTGCCAACCCAGAATGCATGCCCCGCTGTCACTCAGATCACCACAAACGGCCCCTTCCTTCTCTTTCAGAGTCCTTGGGCCTTTATTACGTCACCATCCAAAGCTCTATTCTTACTTCATATGTCACCAATCACTGATCTTCCCACAAGCTGTACCTCAGCATACACAGCCTCCCCCACCATTCCTAATTCAGCAAACATAGGCATTCCCCCCCTCCTCCTCCTGTAGCCCTCCATCACAGTTGCCAGGATCCAAAGATCAGCTCTGTCAACCTATCTCGCCACTCACAGCCCTGGCTGGTTCTTTGACGCCCTTCCCACTTTGCTGAGCATCCACAGTCTGGCCCACCACTGCCATTTCAGCATGCACAACCCTTTCCTTCTCCTTAAGCA